CCTTCGTGGACTTTTGAAAGAGGTAATTCGGGTATTAATTGATGGCAGTTGAGAACAAAGAAGATATGGAATGAGATAAGATCAAAGAGAGACCGAGTTTCTTGCCAGTAGATGATATGGTTTCCTATGCATGTTACTAGCCATACTATAATATCTTGGATAGGTTCCCTTGATTGGTTTCCAACTAAGGATAAACTATTGCACATGGGATTGACGTTTGATGGTGTGTGCGTGCTTTGTGAGGTTGAGAAAGAGTCTCGTAGTCATCTTTTCTTTTATTGTGAGGTTTCGGCTGCTGTTTAGGAGATGACCCTTGCTAGGCGTGGGATACGAAGAAAAGCACAGTATTGGAAGGAATAATCGAAATAGGAGGTTACCATGTTTAAAAGTAAGTCTTCACTTACTGTAACATCCTCAATACCGGGTTAGTGACTAAATTGTAAAATTTTAAAATTTGGTGATTAAAGTGGAAAAGTTGAATAGTTCAATAACTTATTGAAAAATAATATCTGAAGGGTTATTGGTAATTATTGAAAGAGTTAAAGGGCAAATAGGTCATTGAACAAGTAAAATAATTAAATAATAATTAGTGGGTATTATAATACTCATGTGATGCATATTTGAAGAGATAAGTTTCCAGACTTATCTTCTTCATCTTCTTCTTGTTCCTCAACGTGTGGTCAAGAGCAAAGGTGAGTTTTCTATTTAGTTAATTATTTGTTGATTTTAAGGTTGGATTATGATCATTATATGATAATTAAGCTTAAGGAAAGCTTAATTTGTTCTAAAACAACAAGATGAAATGTATATGAGAGATTAAAGATTTTGAGTTCTTGAATGAAATCTTGGAATAGAGTTCATAATTAGAAGTGGAAGTCAAATTTGACTTGTCATCAACTTAATTAAGAGATTTATGAAGTTAGAAAGGATTTATAACAAAGTTGAAAGTTTAGTAAGATTCTTAATTTTAAGAATCATGAGGAGATATGGAAGATAAATATGATTTATATGGATATAAGTTGGTTTAAGTAATGATAGTTGAGTTTAATGGTATGGTAGGGGCTTAAAATAGAAGAATTAAGTGAAGAGATGATGATTTTCGAGTTTAAACAGTAAATTATGGGTTTTAACAGATTATGCAGGGGTACCGATACTACCCTAAATAGAAAGTGAAATTAAGTTTTCTTTTAGTTTAAAAGATGAAGGATTGAATCATAATAATTGAAATATTGATTTGGATATTATATGTATAGATATCAAGCACAAGCAAATTCAGGAACAATTGCAAAGTTAGGATCGATCCAAAGATAAATTATAGAAGTGGATTGGATATATAAAGTAAGTGTCAAGGTGAGTGCAATTTAATTTGTACTTATGTTATTGACCAAACATTGGCTTGCGATGAGCCAGTGACGGAGTTACTATAGTAAGAAGTAAATTCTAAAAATATTATGTGATTATTATGTGTGCATGAATACATGAAAATATGATATAAGCTATATATATGTGATATAGGTGAATGCATGTATGTGTGATTAATTATGTGACTATGAGCTATGTGTGATGATAAGCTATATGATCATAAGTGACAAGATATATGTGATACATGTTATACGATATGATTTATGTGATTACATGCAAAGTGATATGAACTATGTGACATATGAATGTGAATAAGCTATGTGATAAGGACATAGAGAATCAAATGAACACGTGATCATGAGATATGAGAATATACGAGAAAGTCATATGATATAAGATCAATGATTACACGTACATATGATACGTGACAGAAAAGAAGAGATATGTGTTTATAAGAGAAATGATATGAATAAGTGATGTGAATATGTGAACTGTTATCAATGATAATGCCCATGTTATATGATATGAGAGCTAGATGTATAGTTGACATGCCAAGAGTCGATGGTTACCTATGTCTTTCGAGACATATGGACAGTTTACCTGTGTTCTAAAGAACATATGGACAGTTTACCTAGGTTCTTCGGGACCTATGGACAGTTGTCGAGGTTTTTTATGACCTCTGGATAGGTCCTTCGGGACATTTATACGAGTTGTGGTGACAGCATAGTTGTGCACAACTTCAGTGTACTCACATACCTTAAGTTCTCAACAGTGTACATGGGCTAATAAAGAAATTTTATAAGTATACTGAATATGATATGTATGTGTGATTTGTTATATGGAATAGATCATAGGATTTTATGTAATAATGTATTGCTTGGTTAAGGCATGATATGTTATGTATAAGAGTGATAAATTCTAAGGATTAATGATAATGAATGTGAAATGTTAAACGGGTTGATAATGATATATGTGCATATGGGTATATGTTACAGAAATGATATATGCTTTTATATGATATGATCGTAATAATTGCTCATGCATTTGATATGAATTATATTTGTATTACATGTTTTATATGTCTCACTAAGTCTATGACTTAGCGTGTAAGTGATTTACACGTAGGTACTGAAAAGCGGGATAATCAAAGCTAAGTTCAAAGGAACAACATATCTCCACTCAGAGGTAAGATCACAAGTAGATTACATAGTATGTATTAGTATATGACAAATAGGTTGGCATGTAAACAAAGTCGTTAAATTAAGTATGTGTGCTCTGATCGAGTTTTAGGAATGTTTTAAACGTATATATATGTAAATGAGAACTTTATAGCGTTGAAAGTTTAAATTTTCGTGAGTTTTATATGTTTTGCCGAAAGGTACTGTAGCAGTACTATAGTAGTATTGTAGTAGGGTATTGGTACTTGTAGCAGGGGTATCGATACCCCTTAAATAATCTGGAAAATTTTTAGCATTTGGTATTGTTCACGGTACTGTTCATATCGTATATTTCTATTCATAAAAACGTATATTTTCTTAAATTGGTTATAACGAACACAATTCAACAATATATTATCATATTTTCTTAATATAAGTCTAAATGATATGTATTTTGTTAAGAATGTTGTTTTAAAAAGTCAATGTGACATCTCGAACTCGTATCCGGGTCGAATACGGGTTGGGGTGTTAAGAATATTCTAGTTTGGAATGCTTGCATCTACATATAAGAGAAACGAAATAGGCGTTGTTTTAGTCGAATAGGTGCTAGATCGAATACTGAGATTTGTGGATTGATTTGAGAGGTTGTGCAAGTGAAATTTTCTAGAATTAATATAGGGAACCTTAATTATCAAATTTGTGTAGATGGGGGGATTGTTGATAATTGATTGCGCAGTGCATACATATGGGGGCCGATTATAATGTCTTGGGGGATTAATACAGGTGAAATTTTCGATGATTGAATTTGTGTACAGGGACTATTTTGAGGGTTTTGTTGGGAGCTGATATTGTGTACAATGTTGGAACTTTTGTTGTTCTACTTTTGGATAATAATATACACATTTTATCCAAAAAGAATAATATTCTATATAAAACATAAGAAAATACAACATATAAAAAATTAAAAAAATAAAATAGAATCTTAAATGTTTGAGTTAATCCCTTTAAAATGGACTTATTCTATTTTTTACAAATTTATTTTTTCTAACTTCTAATCCCTTAAAAACTCAATATTTTTTAAAAAACAATTTAATTTTATTAATAAAAACAATGGAAGAAATCAAAGCTACAACGCACACATATATAAAGAAAATTAAAGACAATAGTCACTAAAAACTCATAAAAATTAAAGTATTAAACCAAAGGTACGAAGAAAAATGTAACCTCCCAATGAGAACGACGACCAACATCTAGAGAACCCAGTAGCCTTCATAAAATCTCATTGTCTCTGTCAAACAAGACGCTTTACGAATGATAAATAAGTGATGAGCGAACCAAACTATCTGACAGGCTGCTTTGCTACAGAGTTTTAATTATATTAGCAAACAACCTTTTGCCAAAGAAGTGATTTGACTATACGTGACAAACGACAAACCAATTAAAAAATTGAACACTAAAATGATTGCAAAGGTATACGAAAAACATACAAAAAGTCATCAGGACCGTACCACAATAGCAGAGAAATTACGTGCCACAAGAATAGATAAAAATGTGTCACAATGACTGAAATTCTTATTCAAATTAAAAAAAACTGTAGAAAAAAGAAAATAAAATGTATAATTTAAAAAATAAAAAAATAATTAGGTTAAAGAAAAAGGGAGACAAAACAAAAGTTTTTCGAGAGATAATTAGGGTAAAGAAAGTTAAAGAAATGATCAACGAAAATTCAATAAATCAAACCCAACAAACGTGTAAATTTAAATGAATAATGTTTTTTAAATAGTAAAAGCTTTACCTATAGTTAAGTTTCTGGCATAATAAACAGAATGCAATGAGTTTTCTTATATTGAAAAGTTGAATGAATTGAATTGTTTTGATTTGAACAAATTGTTTCTCTTTTTCAGTGGTGAGCGGACATCCAACCTCATTCGAAATCTATTAAAATTAACTTTGAATCATACTAAAAAAAAAACTTGCTAATAAAATTAAGGAACTGATGAACTATCGCCTCTAACATTAAGTCCAATCCAATGACACTTGGAGTGAATCTTGTCCCTCTCCTATTTGATCCGAATGCTTATGCTAGGAGATTGAAAATGGTTTTGCCATCTTAAATACAGTCATCCCACATGAAGTGACGAAACTACCTTAGCAGTGGGAGGGAAATGCAACACAATTTATTGGGAAGCTTGGCAGAATTTGGTTTTTAAGGGAAAAGTCATTTTATAGGCTCATGCTCCGTTAGTTACAAATCACAAAACTTCTTCATCGCTGCAATTTATGGAGTAGGAGAATAATCAGAGAGAATCATCTCTGAATATCCAAAGCAGCCTTTCAAGAAAAGGCCTTGAAATTTATAAAGAAAAAGAAAATCGCTTCTAAATTAAAAAAAAAAAAAAAGAGTAGCTCTTATACTGACGTGGATTAAACAACCACTGAGTAGGTCCCACGTAACGTCACCATTCCCAACTACTGAAAAAAAAAATCCACTTTGTCTATAGATCGTCATAGGCTCCCCCAAAAAGTATGTACGGAGGCTGAATTTGATCACTGAACGATTTTCAACCTCCATAGTCTATGGCGTTGTCAAATTCCCTTTTCTTCCCTTCCTTTTCTTCTCCCATCGGCCACCTTCGTCCCTCAGTTTCCGATCCGGGCTTCGCGCCTCTTCTAGCTTCTCTCGCTTCCTCCAGATTCTGCTGCAACTTTCCCGAGAGCGGCACTAAAGCCAATTTCTATGCGAGAAAGTAAGACAGGAAACGACAATCTGTCTATTCTTTTTGTCGATTTATCTATTTCATGGAATATTCTTGATGCAGGTACATTGTTTATGCTGCTAACAGTGGTTTCGATGCGTTTAATTCCATTTCATTGGTAAAGATTTATCTTCGTTTCGCATCTTTCACTTAACTCTTATACGGATTATGTATTGTGAGGCATCATTTTTGTTTCACTGCGATGAATAATCTAAGCGTTTCTTATCGAATGCATAACTAATGATGTTGCTCTTCTGTTCCGATGTTAATATTTTTAAAATTTAACCAAATAATTGCGAAAGAAGGAAAGAGAGGTCGTTTAATGTTATTATGTTACAGATCCATATTTTTTTGGATTCATTGGGAAATTGCAGTAGAGGGGTTAAGCCGCAACTGAGAGAAATGTTGTTTGAAAATACGAGTGATGAATTTAGTCAAAATTACAGAAATTTTTATATTCTTAATGATTCACCTAGCTGAGTCGCTTCAAAAGACATTGTAGCATCAAGGGTATGCATTTCTAGTTCTCGATCAACGTCATGAAGGTGCTTCTACAACTTGAGGGACATCGATCAACGTCATGAAGGTGCTTCTACAACTTGAGGGACAAAATAACTATTGCACTAACTGAGAAGCTAGAGATGTAGTTCTTCTCTTGCTTTCTTAGTGATTTCCAGAAGTTATTTGGATGCTGGTTTTTATCATTTCTTTCCTAGATGCTAAAATTGCAATTCAGTCCCCAGAACGATTAGTTCATAAAACAAATATATAAATATATTAATCCCTGGATGCACATATTCTTGTTCCACATCACACAGCATATATAAGGATGCCATTAGTTTAATCAGGTGATTTACATCGCAGCAGACTGGCCAAGATGATTATATCCCAATGCCAATTGTTTTGATCGATCAAGAATCAGATTCAGAAGCAACAGTTGTGCAGCTGAGTTTTGGAGATCGTCTGGGTGCTCTCATTGATACAGTTGAGTGGAAACGTATATTGATTTCTCCTTTCAAAATTCTATAAGCTTCTTTTTCTGGGATTACTGGCCAAGCCAATTATGTGACTTATTTTATCTTTGTTTTATTTCTTAACTGAGTTGTCTATGTTTAGGTGAGAGACCTCCTCACCTCTGTTTGTTTTAAGTACTATCTTATTGCATTTTTTTGGATTCTTTTATAAAGCTGAAATACATGAATATTTTTACGTTATGGTTATTACATGCATGAGTATAGGTCACTCCACTCTGAGTAAATTTGGATGATTCGGAGAATCATCAGTACGAATGTTAGTAGCAGCTTTTCCTTGTGTGACACTAATGAATGGTCTTGATTCCAATTTACATTATTCTCGAAGGCCTATGGATCCTAGCTATTTGATTTTAGGGGGAAATGTAATGGTAAATTTGATAATTCTCTCTTTCTTTGTTGAATTTTTTAGAGTACCTTTTTTTTCTTGGGCAGATGAGAGCATTGAAAGATTTGGGATTAGATGTTTCAAAGGGAACTGTTGTTACTGAAGGACCAGTCAAACAAACAAAACTTTTCATAACGCGATCGTGAGTAGTTGTTACAACTGTTTCGACTCAACTTTCTCTCTCCGCTATCTTTGAGAATGTGTTTTATGAAAAGTTGCTGAATATTTGCCATATTCATTTGCTTCCCCTACCACACGTGCATAAATCTGCAGTTTTGATGCTCAAACAGGGAAGCTTGCTTATGAAGTGGGAAATAATTAACTAATATAGTCATGTACAGTGACATATTTGCTGATTGCATTGTAGATTGTTTTTGCCCTAAACATTCGAAACAAAATGTGTCCCTATCCTAAAGAAAGAGTTAATTACACAATGACATAACACATGGCCTGGTTCTATTAGTTAGATACCATATAATTGGGTAGTGTTAATGGCATTAGTGGTTTGACTTGCTTGATACATGTTTTGAAAGTTTATGGGGCAGCAGTGGATACGATACCAGTGTACTACTACTACACTTTTTTTAATGCAGTTTGGGAAATAATTGTCTCTTGACTGTAAAGCAAGTGGATATTTATAGATCATATAATCCCAAAAATCAGGGGCAGCAGTTTGTTCAGCTAGATAAAGGTGCAGACACTACCCAAATGGTGAACAAGGAGATCTAATATTTTTGTTTATAAATATTAATAAAAAAACTGAAAAAAGAACATAGTTGCAGCTTCCTATTTTAGCAGCCATGACTATTTCTAAAGAGCCTATTCCCACTTTCTTTTGGATGCACAGTTGTCAAGATCCCTATAGCCCTATTTAAACCATCAGTCATGGTACTCAGACTGAACTATGGTGCATATGCTACTGAACTCCTAAAAAGTTGTTTTACATTGGGAGTCAAATTCCTATTTTATAACAGTCATGGGGAGTTCAATATTCAAGGGGATTTGAGCTAGAGAATTGGGGGGAAATATATAAATTTACACGCAATTAACCATGTTTAAGATCATTATACTGTGTATTTGAGTCCTAGTATGATAGGTTTCCTAGGTTGAATTCCAAATGTTGAACACTTAAGTGGGAATTAATTATTGTAAGATTAAGACCGTAAATTGAAGCTCATCATGTCAGGCATTAAATACAAGTTTACAAGTTGGATTATCCATAAGGATTTTCTGAATCATTACTTCATCATCTTTCCTTTTGGCTTCATTTTGGCTTATAAATTTTTTATTTTATTTTTCTCCCCTCACAGAGGGTGATAATTGGAATGACTCGTGTTTTTGAGAGTGAGTGAGTATGCAATATATTCAGAACTAGACATCAGTATCATTCTCACTGCACGTATGATAGTCCTTTCAACTTTCTTTTTAATTCAGAATGATCAGCAATTATTAATTGATTTGATTATGCTAGAGACAATGGGCGCAAAGTTGAAGATCCTGATATGTTAGAGGGAATTCGACTCACCATTATAAATAATCTTTTGAAGTACCATCCAGTATGTATGCTGAATTCATACTTTTAGTCTTTCTCTTCCTCCCCTCCCTCCTCTCTTTCTCTCATGGGCGGTCAATCTTATGGCTTGTCAAAGTATAGATATTATGTAGTTATTGATTTTATGCATTATATTTTGTTTCATATCCTGGTTTGAATTTGACTTGCTAGGAATCTAGTGAGCTACTTGCTATGGGTGAGGCTTTTGGAGTAAAGGCTCCAGAGAAGAAGGTGAAATTATCTAATGATTACTGGATTGAAAATTTATTTTTACCCACTTAAATTGGCTCACTTTGTTATTTCTGATGTTCTATATATGCTGGACTTGATATTGGGACATAAATATTTTATATAAAATTAGAATCATGCATTTTATATTTCCTTTTTCTCAATTGAACGACTCTAAGCTTTTATGACATTTGAATGGATTGCAAACTGATTGAAAACTTTGTGCCGTTTGAAAACTGGACATTTAATTCACATTAACTAGGATTTAAAATGGTATTCTGGTTCTTTTCGGGGTATTTCTGATTCCAAACTGATTGCCATAGTTGAATCCTTTGAATGGAATTAGTTTAGTTCTTTTGACATGGAATGGGGGCCAACTTATCTTAATAAATTTCTAAGTTTGATTTTCCCTACCACACACCCCAACTCTAAGCAAAAGCACAACTTGATGTCATCAAGATTAGATCAGGCTTCAATAATGAAGATACCTTCTGATTAGTTATTAAAGAGTTGTTGCAAGCACTATTGGGGTTTGGGATCATATGAACTTTGAATCTAAGCCTCTATAAATTTGTTGGTGCAGCTTGATGTTGACATTGCTACTCGTATACTTATCGAGGAGGATGGACCCAAGAGGAGGTTTGCTATCGAAAATAAACCATAATGGGAAATGGGTTTCATCACATAAGTCACAACTTTCTGCTGTTTAGATCACACATTACCGAGACATATCGAGATATTGTTAACTCTACAAATCCCTTATTTATACACAGGTTACTTTTATGATATCAGATATAATCAACTTATGTATTTGTTCCCTGTGTTACCAGCTTGCTTTCCTTAGAGACGGCAGATCGACCTGGACTGCTGGTAGAGATCATCAAAATCATTGCTGATGTCAGCATTGATGTAGAATCCGCAGAAATTGATACAGAGGTATGCATCTCTTTATATGAGTCGGTGTAAGTGTATGCACACTGGAACTTTTGGTTCTGCAATTTTTTTCACCACCTTTTGTTCCGTGTACTTCACAGGGATTAGTAGCGAAAGACAAGTTTCATGTTAGCTACAGAGGAGCAGCCTTAAATAGTTCCTTGTCTCAGGTATATGTTAAGACTGACAAAACAATATATTTTCTGAACAATACTGTATTGTTTGTTCTTCTCGGTTGCCCAAGTATCAACCGTTGGCCACGAATCACGTTTATTGTCAAACTTCTTAAGTTTCTGCTGGATCTCTGTCATTCCCTCTCTCTTAAAATATCTGTTTATTTCTTCATTTCGACGAAGAAGACCATGAACACACATTTATTGTCCAACTTCTTAAGTTTCTGCTGGATAATCTGTCATTCCCTCACTCTTAAAATATCTGTTACCATGAAACTTGCAGGTGCTGGTGAATTGCCTGCGTTATTACCTTAGAAGGCCGGAAACCGATATCGATAGTTATTAATACTTGAAGATTTGCCACTTATGAAACAAATTCGCTGGTTCTTGTTCTAATTCCTATGTGAGCTCAGGATATCAAACTTTCTTGATGTTGATGCAAGGATTAGTGTATCCGCTACGAGGTGGTCTGTTTTATAGGTTTCCAAACTGCTATGGTTTTCCCATCCTTAATTCCTCTGGTTGAAGAAGAGTCTAGGACAATGTCTCTAAACCGTCGATTTTCCTGGTCATTTCCTCCATATTGAGCATATTACAAATTATTAATGCATGTAAATTTTATATAAAATATGTTAAACATACTTGTGTTATGGAAAATGCGAACATCTCAGAAATACACAAATGATGAAGTTTTGATTTTTGAACATAGGAAATCAATAGGAATGTGATCGGCTAGACTTCTGCCCAACCTCTATGAAACTTATCCCACATATGATTAGGTTCCAACTCTATGGCGAAAATTAAATTATGACATTTGGATGATTTATAATTTATAGATTTAATTATCATATTTATTTGAATTGAATTTTACTTTTATTATGTTTATAATTTATTTTATTTTTGTGATGTAAAAGTAGGTATTTTATATTCAAATAGTAAAAATAACTCAACACATTATATAAGAATGGAACGTTTAATGTGATATTTATATTTTTAAAATATCTAATGTAATACTTGTTTTTTAACAAAATTCTAATATGATACTTTGACAAACTATCTAATGTGGTACATGTACTTTAACAAAATATGCAATATGATATTTGAACTATTATTTTGTGTATTATTAAGTAATTTGACACTTACTGGCAATGTTGATCCATGTACCATAACAACACACGAAATGATAATTGATATGCACTTACTAAAGATTTTTAGACGAAATATCACCATAATACGTGGAATGATATTCAAGATATTATGTTGGATGTTTTGTTACACATTTAACATTTAATTGAGGTATTGATATCTTGGACTTTTTTCAAATGATAGATACCACATTGGACGTTTTAAAGCTTGAACCTTATTAACATTAAAGTTTAGTTTTTTTAAAAAAAAATTCTAACCAATTAGCCGGAAAAAGATTAAGGCTCAAAATTAAATCATTTTAGTTTATGTACATTATATACATATTATCTTCATACTCTATACCTTACTCGGCAGCTATGGACTTACAAATATGGTGTTCAGCAGGTTATGTTCCACTAGAAGTGTATACAGTTGTAGGATAAAAAGTTGCAGAACATTACCTGAAGTAACTTGAACTCTCAATAAACACACAGTAAACAGAGGATTTTAATAAATTGAACATGCCAAACATATACACCATCACTCTCTCATAGCATTACCGTACATAACCCTGTGCATAAAAACCATGACTAATCTTACCCTGACGAGAGTGCAAATCCTACATTTCTTGTGAAATAAGTTAAAGCCAAGTATGGCCTATGGGTGACTTACCTAGAGCATTGCACTCAACATTTCACTCTAAATATCAGGCACACCAGGGAGGCACCAATGGCTACAGTCGGACGAGAACTCTCTTAGGTGCTTATTTCTGTGCTTGGTTCAAGGCCCTTCTATAAACAGATGGATGCCCGTCTCTTCGAAAAGCCGACATCTTCATAATGTCATGCAGATACACCGGGAATCTCATTCTTCTCAATACTCCTTTCAGCACTACAACTTGGTTAGCTGAAAATTTGAAGGGGACTTTTCTGGTTATAACATTTTCAGCCATTTTGTCTGTCTGCAGTGAACAAAACAAGAGAAGGAAGAAGGGAAAAAAACAGGTTTGTTTAAGACAACATGGGGATATAAAAGCTTAAAGTGAATTGAATTTAGGATTTGTTTGATACCTGTTATGCCTAGGCAACATGGTTCTGAAAATAACTTTGTTGCGAGGTTCGAGATTCAACTCAACCCATTTTGCCCATGTTGCGAGTACCTTTTGATATGCAACCATTGGATTCATTGTTTTATAGAGAGATTTTCCCTCCATGTAATAGTCCCACCTGTATATGAGTCGTTGCAAGACAATTTTGTCATCAGTTTCTGCTCGTACTACTCACTATTTCTGTAACTCGAAGAGTGTTGAATACAGTTATGCGCTCATTACGAATACTTACAAACTCCATTGGTCAGAATGAGTCCACCAGTGTGCCTAGTCAAACACAAGAACATCAACACCTCTCCAATATCTTGCATTCTCCTCAATCAAGTCCAAACGCAAGACTCTCTCGTTGACAGGTCCTTTCTTCAGCTTCACAAGCAATGGAGCCCAAGAAAACTCAATTGATGTCTCTAAATCCTGTAATAAAACAACATGCTCGGTTACAATGAAATGCAATCCACCATTTGCTTGAGCAACAAGCACAAAGAAAAGGGTTCTGTTTTTCTGTTCATTCATGTGTATACTCTTACCAGGGCATGGAAGGCCATTGAAAGACCATTGTAGGTCACCTTTTTATGTCCAGTTGGTATAACTCCTTGCACAAGGCAGACCAGATTCTCCCATTGGTTCCTCATGATCGAATCGCCCACCAGCATTATCCTTTTCCTTCTCATCTTCCCAAGAAATTTCAGTGCATCAAATCTGAAACAACAATATCAGCTCAAGAAATTAAACTTACTACAAGTACATTGTCTAGCTAGAGTTCGAAAAGATATAATCGAGTGGATTCGGGACCTTAATCCCAGCATCTGTAACCCTTTTCTTCGATAACTCTATGATATTATATCGAAGTAGGTACCTTGGAAGAGAACAACCATTTGGCATCCATTTCCACTTCTCGTAACCAGAATCTGGCCTTCCATTTCTTTGGCAGGTGACAACAGAAAATAAGATAAGGGAAGTTGGAGTCGTACAAATGGTATGATTGATCATAAACCCATTTACCAACATAGAGATCACATCTCTTCGGCAATCCCTGAAGCCTGCTTTGCACCATTACAACTTCATTGGCTTCGATGTCGAGCCAAGATGATGACTTGCCCTGGAAAATGCAGATGAAGGTGGTGATGAAGAGGAGGGTGAAATGGGGTTTAGCCACTGGATAAGTTGCCATTGAAGGCAAATGAAGGAGGTTTGGTTTTGGGAGTGTAAAATCCACAGCAAATAAGGAAGCATTTTAAGTGCTCTTAAAGTTTTCAACCATAGGCCATAGCTCTTTTGCTTTTTATTTTGTTCTTTCATTGAAGCATGAATGACGGTAATTATGTGTGCGGACCACAACATGTTCAGGGAAAGTGAAAGTGTCGTCTTTTTTCACTCTTTGTCATTGCTTACTCCTTCCTACAGGGCACAGGCTAGTGCCTAGTGGGTAGTTCTTTTTAATATTGTTGTTAAAAGAAATTGAGATTATACCAAAATCTGAAAATTGGAAGTTTAGGGGTTAAGCAAGAAGGAAAAGAAGATAAGAACCCGTGACAAATGATATGATTTTAGCTTTGTATCTGTAACTTGAAATGTCAAAAAGGAGAAAATCATAAACCATAGTCACACTCAGACCTACCGCTAATGCCTATTCACTTTTCACTCAAAAGTTCCATTAGCCATATCCATTAGCTATAGAGTTGATGGAAATGGAATATGTTGTTTTCTAGACGCCATTATTTCCGGTCAAAATTATTTTCATGCATTTCCTGCTTGTTTAATCTGATTTTGTCTCTTCAGAAGATATTAATACAAAGTTCTTACTTCCAAATATATAAATATTTTTAAATTTTTACCATTTTCGTGTTTTTTATATATTGAAAAAGAATGTATTGACTAAATGCCTATTTGTGTTGTTGTTCTCATAAAGGGAAAAGTCAAAACGACCCCTACTCCATACGTCCATAAAACAACACATGTTAAAGCAACTTGGAATTGATTATACAGCAGCCACATTTAAGTAATGTTGAAAACTTTCCCATACCAAATATCAAGGAACCGGTAGTTCTGCTTCAAAGTTCTAATACCTCAACTAACAGAAGAGCATTCTCTTTTTTCCCAATTGAAAAACATTCTCAAAATATGGCATAGCTCCACTCATGCCACACCCCGCAATGTTTGCATGAAATACTGCAGCATTCTCTAACTTATCTACTCATTTATAGAACTCAGAGTCCGTGTCAGCCTTCTTCACATTTGTTCTGTAACCCTTTTCAAAGTCCTTGGGGGAAGTATAATGTATCGGTTCTTGCGCACTGCGTGCCTTCCAGCTTCTTGGCATATAGCAGCAATCTGATATCAATCGAAGTGGCATGCAAAATAATGAGTGAAAAATATTTATAACCAAAGAATGGAGAGGAATACTAGAGGAAGCTTTGATAGTATGCCACAACTAACCTCTGCAGCACTAATTTTATCTGGCCGAGAAACATAATCTTCCAAGTCTACCTCATCACTTAGGTTCATTTTAGCAGTGCAAACCTGCGAGGGAAAACAATACCTTAAGAAAATAAATTGCAACGTTTACTATTCACAATCTAAACCAGACATGGAAAGGAAGAAAAAAAAAATACACAACTGAAGAGAACCATGAATCACACACAGATAAGAACTAGAACTACAATAATGACGTAGGCATTTGATTTTTGCTTGCCTGGAAAACAAGCCTTCCATCTAGTCCTCCAGGACGAAGAAGAGCTGGGTCCAAAGTGTCAGCTCGATTAGTTGCGATAATGACCTTAACATTGACAGTCTGGTCAAATCCGTCCATCTAGAAAAGTTGGGTGCAAAAGCAATAGTTCAGAAAAAAGGTCAAGTAATTAAAACACTAACTTCCTTGTCTATGTTGAAGGATAACACTATAAGCAACATGTTTATTGATATATCGGCAATTGCTCATCATATATACCTGATTCAAGAGTTCCATGAGGATACGCTGAACTTCTCTATCAGCTCCAGTTTGAGCATCAAACCTAGCAGTCGCAATGGTATCAACCTCATCGGTAAAGATTATAGCTGGAGCATTCTCTTTAGCAAGACGGAAGACCACACGAACCATCCTTGGACCCTGAGACAAAGAAATGCTTAAGATATTATTATCCATCTACAAAATATGTGATACATGCACCAGAGTCCATAATACATGCTTCTTTGGACTAAT